ATAGTAATATGACACTTGGAGGTGAAAATTTTTTTAAAAAAATCATGTAAATAAAATTTGTTAATAAAATAAATATTAATTACTCATTTAAATATATACAAACAAAGATCTATTGTATGTTATTTTTAATTTTTATCCTTACATATTATATCGTTAAATATCACGTTACTTAAGAAGTAATATGTTACTAAATAACTTCAAAATTTAATAATTAAAAAAATTAAATTGACGATATGATCGAAATTCCATATTTTTAAAAATAGGATGACTAAATGTCTTTATTTTATAATATAATGACCAAAATTGAGGAATGAGAAAAATAAAGGAACCAAAAGTATACTTTAACAGATAAAAAAAACATTAAAAATGTTGGGCATCCTCTCTCGCATTAGTTATTTAGATTTAAGATACAAAGGGGTCCATTAAGTTCAAGAGTTATACTACTCAATAACAAATGATTTACATTGAATTTTAATTATCTAATTGTTAAATTAAAAGTTCTTAATAAATAAATCATGGTTACAAATTTTTACAAAGTTTGAAAAACATATGATCTTTCGTTATATAGATTCAAATTAACATATAATATGTTTATATACATATATGTTAATTTGAATTAATATAATCACATATCAAATAATTTTTCAATTTTATAAAACTTTGTATACTTGATTTATTGATTAAAAACTCTTTATTTGATTGTTGAATTGTTAAAATTTAATGTAATGCATATATATATATATATATATATATATATATATATAGATAAAAATGAGAATTAGACATTACAAGAAGATTAAAAGTTTCATTTAGCTTTCTAAATAAATATTTGAATCAAATCGGATGAATTACATAATTAAACAAGTGAATAAAAATTTATCCTATTTATTAGAGTAGAGGGATCTGCTAAGGAACCATGTGACAACAATGGCTGTGGTATTTGGTGGTGATAACAATAATGATAGTGATAACAGTGGTAATAATGTAATCGCTAACATCACTACCACCACCATCACCTTCAATATTGTTATTTTTGTTATTGTCGTCATTACTATCACTACATGGTAGATAACAATGATAATAGTACTTTTAAATGTTATTATTTAACACTCTCATCTACCATGATAAACTATATATATATATATATAGGGAGCATATCAAGTGAGAGGAATTTATTATGAGAGGGTGAGAGGGTTAAAATATAACCCTTAGATTAATTTTCTCTCACTTGATTAATCTAAGGGTTATATTTTAACTCTCTCACCCTCTCATAATAAATTCCTCTCATTTGATATGCTCCCTATATATATATATATATAGTTTATCATGGTAGATGAGAGTGTTAAATAATAACATTTAAAAGTACTATTATCATTGTTATCTACCATGTAGTGATAGTAATGACGACAATAACAAAAATAACAATATTGAAGGTGATGGTGGTGGTAGTGATGTTAGCGATTACATTATTACCACTGTTATCACTATCATTATTGTTATCACCACCAAATACCACAGCCATTGTTGTCACATGGTTCCTTAGCAGATCCCTCTACTCTAATAAATAGGATAAATTTTTATTCACTTGTTTAATTATGTAATTCATCCGATTTGATTCAAATATTTATTTAGAAAGCTAAATGAAACTTTTAATCTTCTTGTAATGTCTAATTCTCATTTTTATCTCTCAATTATAAATTTTGTAATATTAGTTCTTTCATTTTATTAAAATATATTATTTTAGTCCATAAAGATTCATTTGTTTATTATTTCAATTATAACATTAGCTAGTCATGATTTAATAATAAATGGATAATATGACAATAAATATTTAGTAATATTAAGTTAAATTATACTTTTGGTTTCATTAAAAAAATGTATTTTTACTTTCCACTTTCATTAGAGTTTATCATTTTTATGACATAAAAAATGTAAACTAAAGTAAAATTTTACTTATATTATTTGATATTAAATATTATGTGATATAAATAATATTAAACTATGATAACGTTGTAATTTTAATGATTAATAGAAAAATATTTAATAAAAAAATTAAAATTATAAATTTTATAAAAATTGGAGACTAAAATTATAGATATAATATTACAGGGGATAAAGAATGCAGTTTAATATTTTGAAAAATAATTAGATGGATTGAATTAGATTTTAGCGAGATGAATTGGATGGATTATGGAAAATGAGTGATGAAAAATCTATGCTTCAAACATTAGAACCCTTTTCACCTTGGGACATTGACAAACCTAAATGGAAGATTTAAAAAGGAGTGATCTTATTCTGATCTCCCAATCAACAAAATGTACATAAACGAGTGAGTACAAACAAATGAAGAATAGTCTCGTGCTCGATCAAATCTACTAGTAGTACTGATACAACGTATGCAGCGGAAGATATAAAACATGTTAGGAATTTAATCCTCGATTCCCTGTTCTGTAAAACTTGTTTCCTTATTAATTAACCACCTAGATGCAAGTACAATGTGCTGTGCTGACTATAACATTATTCCCAAATGCTAAGCACTACAAATGTACGCATAAACCATCCCGAAATTCAAACCTTGATTTGGTGGAGACAAAATTTGTGATGGCAATTGCAGTCATGCTACAACAGGGACAACAGAACCCACCATTTTTTTCACTCAATTGTGCATGAATCTCTTCCTTCTCTTGTGAAAAAGGTCCCACGTGTCGCTTACTGTGGTCTTGCTGAAGATTCCACTTAGTCAATATTAAAGAATGAAATTGGTTTGTAGAATCATATTGTATTAATTCTAATATCATATTTAAACAAAGAACAAAGGCTGCGTATGCATGTGTTGAATTTTTTTTGGATACAAATGTAAGTCGACATTGACAATGAAACCTCAGAAAGAAGCATTTGCAAAGACAGTAAGTACCAATTCGAAGAAGAGGAGAAATTAAATTTTGAACAAAATAAAAAAACTGGGGAGGGTGGAGTCACTTTCCTCTTTAAATAATCTTTTGGAGATATTAGCATTAGTACCTCCATGTGACATTAAAATTAGGGGAGATGGTGATTTCCCTGAAGATTTTTCTTGCTGTGACATGATACGGTGAGAGAATATGTGCTTAAAGGACCTATATACCTCACAAATAAGGTTCCTAAAGCACATGATGTTTGGGACAAAATGATGCATGTGATGGTTGAAAATTGCGTTTCACTGTCATCCAAACCCTCTCACCAAAACAAGTTAACGTATGGATACCCAGAGTCCACGATTAGCCACTGCCTTCCTCTATTAAAGAATGTCATACCCAACCTCATCTCTTTCCC